GGCCAGGATTTATTATTTTTTTTATTTTTTATTTTATTTTTTTAAAATAAATTTTTATTGTTCATATTATTACAAATGTTCCTTCCCCCCCTTCCCACCCACCCTCTGCCCTTTACCCACCCCCCATTGTCCTCATCCATAGGTGCACAGTTTATGTTCAGTCTCTTCCCATATCCCCCTCTCCCCTTTTCCCCAAGAATCATCAGTTCACTCCCCTTCCATACCTCTGATTCTATTATATTCAACAGTTAATATTGTTCCTCAGATTTTTTTTTTAATTTCCTTGGTTTTTAGATTCACTTGTTGATAGTTATGTATTTGTTGTTCATAATTTTTATCTTTATTTACTTTCTCTTCTGAAAGAACCCCCTTCAGCAATTCATATAATTCTGGTTTGGTGGTGATGAACTCCTTTAGCTTTTTTTTATTAGTGAAGCTCTTTATCTGACCTTCAAATCTGAGTGATAGCTTTGCTGGATAGATTATCTTTGGCTGTAGGTTCTTACTATTCATCACCTTGAATATTTCTTGCCATTCCCGTCTGGCCTGCATGGTTTCTGTTGAGAAATCAGCTGACAATCGTATAGGTGCTCCTTTATAGGTGACTACCTGCTTAGCTCTTGCTGCTTTTAATATTCTCTCTTTGTCTTTTGCTCTTGGAATCTTAATTATGATGTGTCTTGGTGTGGTCTTCTTTGGATTCCTTTTATTTGGAGTTCTGTGTGCTTCCTGGACTTGTAAGTCCAATTCTTTCCCCAGGTGGGGGAAGTTTTCTGTCACTATTTCTTTCAGTATGTTTTAAATATCTTGCTCTCTCTCATCTTCTGGGACCCCCATAATTCTGATGTTGGATCGTTTGAAGTTGTCCCAGAGGTTTCTTACATCATCTTCAATTTTCTGGATTCCCTTGCCTTGTAGCTTCTGCAGAGGAGTGTCTTCTGGCTCTTTATGTTCCGAATCTTTGACTTGATTCTTGCGATCTTCTATTCTGTTCTTAGGACTCTGTATAATATTTTTTTTTCAGACAATGTATTCTTTATTTCTTGTTGATCCCTTTTCATATCCTCATAAGTCTCATTTATTTTATCGGCCTTTTCTAGGAAACTCTTGAAAAACCTTATAAGTGTGGTATTGAACTCTATATCCAGTCGCTTTTTGTCCTCCATTTCTTTCGTTTGTGATCTATTTGGTTTAGGCATTTTTGCAGGCAGCTTTCCTGATGGGGCGGGGTTTCAGGGTGGAGCCTACAGCTTTGGCTTTCATCAGCCCTGCCCTATGCGACTCCTGAGACTCAGGGTCCTTCAGTACTCGTTGCAAGCGCCTCTGAGAGGAAGGCGCCCTCGATTTTCACCTGCTGCCAAACAGTCTAGTCTCTCCCCCAATGGGCCGGAAACTGGGGTTCAGTTCAGTTGGAAGTGGAGTTGGAGGTGGCGTTCAGAGCAGACTGGAGCCCCTGTCTCCTTCCCACCAGGGCAATCCCGCAGCACAGCCAACTGTCCCTTTTCTGCGCGGTGCCGCTGGGACCTCCTTTCACCTCTTCCCCGGGGTTCCACCTTTCAGCCCAGCTCCCCCTGTGTGAGCCTGGGTCCCCGGGGTTTGGCCTAGAACTGGGGTTCAGAGCAGTCAGAAGTGGGGCCCAACACAGTCGGAGTTTTATCTCCTTCCCGCTAGGGAACGCCAGCCAGGCAGTCAGCTGCCCTCCTCTCCGGCTCCGTCCTCTCCGCACGCCACGTGTCTCTGTACCTTAGGCTTTTACAGCTCCTCCGTTCTTCCTTCTGGTTTCCTCCTTGCTTCTTGTTGTAGAATTTCCATTCAGTCGACTTTCCTGTAGTTCTGGGTAATGTCCATTTTATATTTTAGTTGTATTTTATTGAAATTGTTGCATGCGGCTGCAGCTAGGTGCCTACCCGAGCAGCCATCTTGGATTCTCTTCTATTATTATTTTTTAAAAATATGTCTATTGATTTCAGAGAGGAACGTAGAGGGAGAGAGAGATAGAAACATCCACGATGAGAGATAACCATTGATTGGCCTACTCCTGCATGTCCCACACTGGGGATTGAACCACAACCTGGGCTTATGCGGACTGGGAATTGAATCATGACCTCTGGCTGGGCAGCAGACCAGGATTTACAATATAATGATAAATATGTTCAAGAAACAGAGGGAAAGATGGACAAAACAGATACAGTCTCAAAAGAGAGGGGTGGGGAGAGAAAGAAACATCGATTAGTTGCCTCTTTCTCTGGCCTCAACCAGGGTTGGGGAGCAAACCCACAACCCAGGTATGTGATCTTGACTGGGAATTTAACCCATGACATTTACATGCTTGGCCGATGCTCTAATGACTGAACCACACTGGTCAGGGCTCTTTTTTCATTAATATTGCTTCTTTTCCACAATATTATTTTTCAATATTATATTTTAATAGTAATTCACATTGCTGCATATAGCTGCAGTTCATTTTTATTTTTGAAAATGTTTTCATTGATTTTTGTGGGAGAGAGAGAAACAGTGATGTGAAAGAGAAACATCTATCATTTATTTGCCTCCTGCACAAACACTGATTAGGTACCCACAACCTGAGCATGTGCTCTGACTGGGAATCAAACTGGTGACCTTTCAGTACATGGGATGACAGCTAACTGAGCCACACTGGCCAGGGCAAGTTTATTCATTTTAATTGCATGTTAATGCTCTCTTGTATGAATATACCACAATTAATTTATACATTTCACTGTTGATGGATAATGGATGGATTCCAATAAATAGCTGTTAAGGATCTATGTATAAAATGCAAATAGACCGAACAGCCAACCAAACAACCAGTTGCTAAGATATGCGTTGACATTAGGGGGCATGTGCACAGAACATGGCGGGCATCAGCCTTGTTGGGGTGGTGGAGCAGGGGCGCCAGAGCAAGATAGCTGTCATCAGGGAAAGCCTCTGATGGCTACTGAAAATTTGGAGACAGGGTCACTGAAGATATAATTAGTTAAGATGAAGTCATACTGGAGTAGTGTGGGCCCCTAATCTAATATAACAGATGTTCTTATAAAAAAGGGATATGTTCTTATAAAAAAGGGATACAGATTGGGGTGATGTTTCTACAAGCCCAGGAATGCTAAAGGTTGCCAGCAGACCACCAGATGCTAGAGGAGAGGCATGGGGCAGATTCTTCCTTACAGCCCTCAAAAGGAACCAACCCTTCTGACACCTTGATCTTAGAGTTGTAGCTTAAAGAACTGTGGGATAATAGTTTTCTGTTGTTTAAGCCATATAACTTGTGATACTTTGTCATGGCAGCCCTAGAAAAATAATACAGATTTCAGTACCAGGAAGTAGGGTGCTGCTGTAACAAATGATTAAAAATGTGGAGGTGGCTTTGGAATTAGGTATTAAGTAGAGGCTGAAAGAGTTTTGAGATTCATTAACAGAATAAGCTTCGACTGCTTTGAAGAGAATGTTGCTAGAAATATGAATGTAAATGGTGCTTCTGGCAAGTTCTCAGAAAGAAAGAATGTCTTATTTGAAACTGGATGAAAGGTGATCCTTGTTATAAAATAGCAGAGGACTTGGCTGAATTGTATTTTGTTGGATGGAAAGTGAAACTTGTATGCAATGAACTTGCATATTTAGCTGAACTTACAAAGTGTTGAAGGCATAGTTTGGTTTTTCCTTGCTGCTTATAGTAAAATACGAGAGGGTAGAAACATTTAAAAAGAGAATTGTTAAGAAAAAAAAAACATATTTCAATACTTGGGAAATTCTCAGCCTACTCAATTTCAAAAAATGAGAAAATTTGCTCTGGATAGAACACCAAGGGTACTGTTGGCTAACCATTTGCCCAACACATTAGTTTGTGACCTGTGGGCCCAATCAACTATCTCAGTTGGCATGCTGTTAGCTTAGACTGAAGGGGTATAGGCGAGAGGAAATGAAGAAAGGCAGTTGGGTTTTTGGAATTCTAAAGTCAGGAAATGACCTGATAGAGATATCCAGCTGTGATCATGTGTTATTCTTTTTTTTTTTTTTTTTTTTTTTAAAGGAAGAATAACCCTGAGAATAAGGCCTTTTCTTTATGAAGGCAGAGCCATCACCTCAGTTCCAGAGTACAGAGCCAGCTACTACTCAGGATGCCATCTGGTGAGCCCAGAGGGCATAGTATCATGCCAGAAATGATAATTCTAGAGCCTTAAAATCAAGTGAAACTGATCCTGCTAGGTTTCAGACTTACTTGTGACCCATGATACTTTTCTTCCTTACAATTTCTTCCTTTTGGAATGCTTATCCCATCAATTGTATTTTGGACATATAATGTGTAGTTTCACATAGGAAATAATTTTGCCCGAGGATGAATCACCCTGCATCTCATCAACAGATGATTTAGATGATATTTAGATGAGATTTTGAACTTAGAGTTGATGTTGGTATGGGGTAAGACATTTGGGGATGTTGTGATGGGCTGAATGTATTTTGCATTGTGAGGACATAAATTTTTAGGGGCCAGAGGACAGACTACTAATATGTAACTGATTACATCTTCAAGGACACAAGAATGTGACATTTAGAAATAGGATCATTGAAGATGGAGTAGGTTAAGATAATATAATATTGGAGTAGACCAGTACCCCAGAGAGGATCCGTAATCCAATGTGGATGGTGTTCTGATAAAAAGTGGAAATCTGGACACAAATTTACACATAGGGCGAATGCCAGGTAAAGATCAAGGCACAGATTGAGGTGATTCTTCTATAAGCTAAGAAATACCAAATATTGCCAGTAAACTACCAGAAACTAGGTGAGAGTCATGGAACAGATTCTACCTTATATCTCTCATAAGGAATTCACCATACCAATACCTTGATCTTGTACTTTGTCGGCCCTAGAAAACTAATACAGCTTCTAGTACAATTATTCATTTTACAGTATAGGAAGAAATCCTCCCCTCAAAAAACCAACTTAATATGCTATGTATATACTTAATACATATGACTTACAGTTTGGCAAATAGCCCTTGAAGAATCCTTTTTTTCTTGGGAGGGCTCAAACTTGTACAGGTAGTTTGAGCACTCACAGAACCATCATCTTGTTTACCATCTAGTTCCTGACTTTGACTTTCTTTTATTGCTGTTTGGGATGTTGAGGGTTGGTTAACTTTCTGAAACCAAAAGTTTAAAGAAAACACTTAAAACTAATTCATTGGAATTATTAATATTTATTTTAAAAGTCTATAATTTTAGTTTACCCATTTTTCATAATCTTGAGTTGTGACAAAATGTTGAAAACATATTAGTGCTTTTATAAAGATGATTTGTCCTAATCCATCATCTATTAAAATATTTTAAAAGGAAAATAAACAGAAGTCCCTCTTATATTAGTATAGCTGAAAAGATAGATTAGCTGTGTGTTTCGGTAAGAATAGTAATCCTAGCCAGTTTGGCTCAGTGGATAGAGCGTAGGCCTGCAGACTGAAGGGTCTTGGGTTCAATTCTGATCAAGGGCACATGCCCAGGTAGCGGTCTCGATCCCCAGTAGGGTGTGTGCAGGAGGCAGCTGATCAATAATTCTCTCATCACTGATGTTTCTATCTCTCTCTTCCTTTCCCTTTGTCTCTGAAATAAATAAAAATATATTTAAATTTTAAAAAGGAGTCAAAGACAAATATGTAAACAAATAACTGCAGTTGTGTTCCAATAAAATTTTTTTTTAAAAAAGATTAGCAATCCTAGGAATAATTTTTCAAAAGATAAACTCAGGGGAAAATTAATTTTTTTTGTCTTGATTATGCCTAGAGACTGACATTCCAGATACAGTGGTAAAAACTTCCTTGTGGAAGTGTTCCTAAAGTTCTGGTCTTGACAAAAAGTAAGAAAATAATATATAGACATATCTCATTTTATTGTGCTTTGAAGTTATTGTGTTTTTTACACATTAAATGTTTGAGGAAACCTTGTGTGGACCAAATCTACTAACATTCGGTTGGCTCAGATGATGATTAATATTTTCAGCAATAAAATATTTTATGAATTAAGGTATGTAAGTTGTTTTTTAGATATAATGCTATTACACACTTAATAGACTATAGTAGAATGTAAAAATAACTTTTATATGCACCGAGAAAACAAAAAATTCATGTGACTTGTTTAATTGCAATATTTGCTTTATTGCAGTGATCTGGAACTGAAATTATATTATCTCCAAGGATGCCTGTAATCATATATACCAGTTGAGGATTTAAATAACAACAATCAAGATAGGCTTAAATTGTTTGAAAGCAAAATCAAGATACCAAATTTGAGGGCCTTGGAAAATATCGGAGGCTATGACCTTCTGCCCAGCCTGCTCCAAAATAAATAAATGACAGAAAAAGGAAACAAAAAACAACAACGATTTTCCCCCCTCTTGATTTTAGACCATTAAGAATTTTTTTAAAAAAAAGAACCAATACATGTGAGTTCTGAATAAAATGAACAAAGTACCACTGTAATTATGATCACAGTGTTTTCAGCAATATACAATTAACTCTCTGGTGCCATACCTGAAGTGTTTCTGATACTGAGGAACTTCCAGTTGCACTGCTATGGGATATATACTTTATAATAGTAATTATCCCCTGAATTGCAATGCGTTTTTGTTCCCTATATTGCAAGCTTTCAATCTCCTTCCTCACTTCACTCATAGCTGTCAGGAGCGACTGAACTGCAAAAGAGTAATTCCAAGGAAATTGTAAGTTTTAAAGAGCTACAATGATAAAAATAAAAATCAGATTTGCAATATAAATACAACATAAAATTATAAATTTGCCACATAATTTAAATTTGTGAGGCTTTATTGTGTTTATATTTTTGTGTTTATATTTGGCATCCCCTTATGTAATTTTTGTAAAATAGGCAAAATATATTAATCAGTCAAATCATGATACAGTCTTCTAATCTAGCGTTTTAATTTGAAACAAAAAATTTGTATATTGAATGCAACTTATAGATTATATTTCAGACTATAAAGTGTTGCCTAGCCACTGCATAGACACAGACATTTTAATATTTCTAAATATATACTACAAATTGATGGCATTCTAAAGTGCAAAAGGATCCCAATACAGAGCGGGGCAAGAGCGGGTTTACAGTTGTTCATATGGAAAATAATGTAATAATTAATAAATAATAATATAAGAATAAAGTGTTTTGCACACCCCTGTATATTGGCTATAACACAATCGACTGCTGCCTTTAAATAAAAATGACACCAAAATAAATGAGATGCAAAGTAAGTATTGATAGAGAGGCCTAATGTTAATTTTATTACAATTAAGATACCACAGTTGAGCCGAAACCGGTTTGGCTCAGTGAATAGAGCGTCAGCCAGAGGACTGAAAGGTCCCAGGTTCGATTCCGGTCAAGGGCATGTACCTGAGTTGTGGGCACATCCCCAGTAGGGGGTGTGCAAGAGGCAGCTGATAGATGACTCTCTCTCATCGATGATTCTGACTCTCTATCCCTCTCCTTTCCTCTCTGTAAAAAATCAATAAAATATATATATATATTTTTTTTTAAAAAGATACGACAGTTAAAAAGTTTAACGCTTAAGTATATTGTTTTTTAAAATTATGGGATAATTCATGATTTTGGGAAAAAAGAGAAACTTTGAAATAGTGACCTGTCATCATCAAATACTATACTATTTCATAAGAGTAGCATAATGCAGTTTTCAATATCTTGATATCAAATTTCCCAGTGTTCCCTTTGATATCTTAGTTTCTCTATGTAATATCATAGGAATTGAAATCTACTAAGGTCAGATTTATATCAATGACATTACCGTGTTTTCCAGTGTACAAGACGACTTTTGAAACGAAAAAAAGTCAACCGAAAATCGGGGGCAAAAGACCAAAATTGCACAAAAATTACCTGCAGATCTTGACGGCAAAGTAAGTCTTTTCTTTGAAGTGGGGGGTAGTCTTATACAGTGAATATAGGCCTAAACCTATGTTTTAACTGTAAAATTAGGGGGTCTTATATGCTGGAAAATACGGTAAATTGAGATATTATCTCTATTTAGTCATCATCTATGTTCCTTTTCTCCTTCCAGTCAAATAAAATGAAAATATTAAAAAGTGTTTACATCTGATGTTATTAGTATTTATAAAATGAGGTATTGACAAAGATTTATGTTATACACTTCCTAGGACTCTCTTTTGACAAATTTCCTAATCACCAATATGGTAGCATTCTAGTAAGCACACCACTCCACAGTACTCCCTCACTAATCTGGAACTTTTATCTTTATTGTTTTGACTATTATCAAAGGGAACAGAGAAAAATAATGTACTTTACTCATTTTTGTTTTACATGACATCTTTAGATCTTCACATGACATCTTTAGATCTTCAGAAAGACAGTACTAGTAAATGTAGTACTAATGCTACATTTTGGCTCACCCCCATATAATAAAAGAATAAAGACTAACTGACATATCATACACCATACATGTAGCATATAAAAATATCATTGAAAAAGCAGCAATTCTATTAGTACCTTTTATAGAAGTACTATACTTGGAAAATGTCTCTGGCACTGGTGGATAAGGGTAATATCCACCAATAACAGTATTCTTCATTTCCCCAGAGTCAGTCTTTGTTTTAACCCAGTGAATAAAATTCTTTATTTTGGTATTGTTGACATATGGCTGGCCTCTATGACCTATTTGTAAGAAGGGTAAAGAGAAAAATAAGGAGGGTATAAACTGCATGGACTTTTTTTGGGGGGTATAAATACAGTTTAAAATTAAAAGTTTCTTATGTCACCAAGAAAACAAGTCATGTTCACTGATTCTCTATGTATAGGGTAATTGTACTCAATATGCATACCAGAGTTTTAATGGACTAAACTGTAGCTGTCTACAGGATACTAAAAAGCCATATGAAAAAGAAACTAATAACTGGGATTTTTCTAACTATCCAAGTGGTTGGCATTTTTTTAAAAATGGATTTTTAAATCACGTGTTGTCTTTAATATATGGCATCATGCATGAACTAAATTGCCTATAAGTATAGCTCAGCATTTTTAAAAATTAAATTTTATTAGGGTGATATTGATTTTAGAGAGAGGAAAGGAGAGGTAGAAATAGAAACATCAATGATGAGAATCATCTATTAGCTGCCTCCTGCATGTCCCCTACTAGGGATTGAACCCGCAATACAGGCATGTGCCCAGAGTAAGAATCTAATGGTGACCTCCTGGTTCATGAGTTAATGTTCAACCATTGAGCCATACTGGCCAGGCAGTATAGCATAATGTTTAAATTCATTTTCTTAAAGCACCCTTAAAAGTGTTTACATCTGATGTTATTAGTATTTATAAAATGAGGTATTGACAAAGATTTATGTTATACACTTCCTAGGACTCTCTTTTGACAAATTTCCTAATCACCAATATGGTAGCATTCTAGTAAGCACACCACTCCACAGTACTCCCTCACTAATCTGGAACTTTTATCTTTATTGTTTTGACTATTATCAAAGGGAACAGAGAAAAATAATGTACTTATAGACAAGTAGTGAGGCTCTTCTTGCTATATAAATAAACTGTGAGATCCCGAGGCCAAAATTTGATCTATATTTTTGTTTTACTCAGTATTTTAAAATATTGATAATTAAATCCATATTGTGATATAGGGCCTAGCAGTCTCCAATCTATCAAATAATTTATGATTATCTACCTTATACAAACAGGAATGAAAGTTAGCCAAAGGATATAAACACAATTTTCCAGTGAGTCATAAAATCATTGCTTCAATCATAAATAATCTAGAAGGAATATATTCCATAGGCTAAGTATTCTTTTAAAATAATCTTAGAGATAAAGAAGATGAAAATAGAACTATCTTATGGTTGAATGTTGTCATATAAAAGTTAATTTAATGAAGAGAAAATATATTACATTTCCAATATAGCATATACAAAGACATTGCTCACCGATAATAAACATTCGATTCTCATTTGTAGTGGTGAGATAAAGCAGTTTAGGTACTTGATTGTTATTTCTGACAACTTTCAACTGTGTACACATGAAATATGTCACTGTAGAAAATGAAAACACTTATGAAAGCACTTCTGCATTTCAAAGAGGACATAAGAAGATCAGGATTTAACACAGTGCTCAAACTTTAATAGATATAGAAATCACCTAGGACAATTATTAAAATTCAAATCAAGATTTAGTAGTTTTAGTGTAGGGTCTAAGATTCTCCATTTCTAATAAGTTCCTAGGCGGTATTAGTGCTGCCAATCCCTTGACCACACTTGGAGCAACAAGGATCTAACACTTACCTTTTCCTTTAGAATGTAAACACCTGCACCTAACTGAAGTCACTACTTGCTGCATAGTTGAAGAGTGCAAGAGTCTTTCTAATGGGACACACAACACAATGTGAACAATTATTTCCTAACGAGAAAAAAGGCTTAGTTTCTCCATTATGTTTTCACTGATTAACTCAATTTAGCATTGATCCCTAAAGTACTCTGACTCCTTCCACTAGAGAGGGCTATAGAGTATTTTAATTTGCTTAGGAAAAGTATTTTACATGTGCTGACCTTTAGACTTTAAGCCTCAATGACAAGGCTTGATACCTATTACTTTTGTTCACCTTGCCAACAAACTTAATAGGCTAAAAAGAATAACTGAAAATAAGATTATGTCTACAGACTTGAATTACTTTCAAGAGCTATCAATTGTTTTTAAATATCTGTCAGTTTATTTGGGAAAATTTCATTACTCCAACAGTTTTTAAAAATTTTAACTCCTTACATGGTAAAATTGATATAGTCTTGCAAACCAGGAAATAAAGAAATAAATGTATTTTTAATCTCACAATAACTGTAAGTACTCCTTGAGAATAAATATTTTCCTAGAGCATGATATATAAATTCATTTTCTACATCTTATATTTACTAGATCTTTATTTTATAGCAATAAAAATAAAATCTGTTCAAGTGACTAAGAATAGTTCTCTTTATATTGTGTTTCTTTACTTCAAAAAACTGTACAAATATGTGAGTATTCATGGTTAAAGATGTTGATATAGTAGCATTAACAAAATATCTTATTCTAATTTCATGGCTGTTAAAAATCAGACCTGGCCTGTTTTTTTCAGTGGTTAGAGCATCGGCCTGTGGATCCAAGGGTCGTGGGTTTGATTCCTGACCAAGAGCATATACCTCGGTTGCAGGTTCACCCTGGCCGTCTCTCTCATATTGATGTTTGATTTTTCTCTCTCTCTCTCTCCTCATTCTTTCCCTCCCTTCCCCTCTTTTTGAAAAATCAATGGAAAAAATGTCCTTGGGTAAAGATTAAAAAATAATCAGACATTCATATCTAATACTTAATAGCTGTTTGACATCCAGGAGATTACTTAACTCTCTGGACCTTTGTTTCCTTACCTATAAATTTGTAAAATATGTCAACTCTTTAAAAGGTAACGGGGAGTACAAAATGAGATAACATCTATGAGCATTTGATACATAATAAACATTCAATATTCCTTTTCCGTAGTTCTTCACTTTCCTAAAAATTAAAAAAGATGCCCTATTACCAAAGAATTTGGTATTACTACATAAGACCCTTAGTCATGTTCCTCTTCATAGGCCTAAAACCCCCTTAATACTCACCATTCATAAAATTATTTTTTCCCCTTCACTCTTGGTTAAAAGATGAAGATAAATTGATTATTGTCAACTACTATATTAGAGAAAATCTCACCAAAGTCCATAGAAACCTTTCTTTAAAAAATATATTTTTTTTTACATTCTTACAAGATATATATAGAACATGCATGCTTGGCAACATTTCTGTGAAAAAGCCTTATGCAAAACTTGGGTCAGTTTATTGTTTAAAGTGGCTACAAAGAGAGAGAAACATGGCAATAAAACTCATCTAAAATGAGGTAATAGAATTGTCATCAGAGGTCATCACTACCAATCATTTATGCCTTTGGAGAAGTTACATAGCCCTACTCACCTTGGAAGACCAGGCCTTGGTTTTCGCTAAAACTGTCTTTTTGCCCTCTCCCCCAGTAGTTGGGGTGAGGTTTGGTTATATTAAGTTATGTTTAAAAAATAATCTCACAAACGCAGGGTGGAATCTAATGAGATAATATCTACATAGCGTATAATACTGTTTTGCAATAGAGAACAAAGGGATAGCAGAACAGCCCTATACAAGGTCTCCAAGACTCCTGATCTACAATTTCTACCATGTTGCTGATTTTGTTTTATTTTTATTATTTTAAACATATTTTTAAATGATTTAAGAGAGAAAGGGAGAGGGAAAGAGAAATAGAAACATTAATAATGAGAGAGAATCATCTATCAGTTGCTTTCTGCATGTGCCACACTGGGGATCATGCCTTCAAACCATGACCTCCAGGTTCACAGGTCGATGTTCAACCACTGAGCCTCACCAGCTAGGCATGTTGCTGATTTTTTTTTTTTTAAATTGCATGTAGCCAAGATTGAGAGCTTTCCTAATGTTAACAAACATTTAACACTCAGTATTTAATTTATATAATCATTTAGAAAATAGTAAAAATAGCACATCATATCTAAAATAGCTTGATACTACAAAATCAAAAAAAGGAAAAATTCACTGAAATCATTAAAAAGTATTATATATACTTTTTTTTTACTTTTTTCTTATATTAGATATAAAAACTAACTTGTTATATAAAATGTATAATAGGGTACTTCTAAAATGTTTTCAAATAAATAAAATTAGTGGGGGGGGAAATACCTATATATCTAAATGAATGCAAGGAGAAAAGGTCAATGACAAAGTAAATAAAATATTAACCAGCTGTTATAATGCCACCAACCTAATACTAACTTAATACTCAAATAGAATCATATTTATCATTGTCAGTATTTAATTACACAGTCTGCCAATCTCTTACCAATTAATTCAACATTAGGAATGTCTTCATTGTCTAAGTGTATTGACAAAGGAAATTTTGTTTTAGTTTCACCAAATGGTGTGCTTTTATGTCTGAAATGCTAACAATGAGAATAGGAGCACCTATTTTCTGGAAAACTAGTTCAATCCCAAATTAATTTTGAATAAAAAACATGACATGTAATACCAAATAAAATATTAATATAGAAAAAAATTAAACATGATATCTCATAGCTTGAATTTGCTAATTCAGTATCATGACCCTGTATAATTAAGTTTAACATTTAAAAAAATATATTTTATTGATTTTTTAGAGAGGAAAGGAGAGAGATAGAGAGTTAGACACGTCGATGAGAGACAAACATCGACCAGTTACTGCCTCTTGCACACCCCCTACCGGGGATGTGCCCGTAACCAAGGTACATGCCCTTGCCCGGAATTGAACCCGGGACTTTTCAGTCCGCAGGCAGACGCTCTACCACTGAGCCAAATCGGTTTCGGCAAGTTTAACATTTTTTTTAAGTTAATGCCCCCACTTGCAAAAAGAAAAAGAAAAAAATATTGGAACTGATTACTTGGGCAAATATTTTCAAAGATTTCCGGCTGAGATGTAGAAAACAGTTCCACTATGAATGGTTGTTCTGAAGTCCCGTCAGCAATGTGAATCCAGTGATATGTCCAAAAATCTTCACTGTTTTCTATATGGATATAATATTAGAATAAAAGAAGGTAACTGGTTATGCACATACAAACATAGAACTATTCACTGAAATACTTTTTATTATTTTCAATTTCAAAAGCTTACCTTTCTTTTTTAACCGCTGGACCCTTCCTACAAAAACTAAAATGCCAACAACATCACAGATTTGCTTTTCTGGCATATCATCCAGTTCTGATCTAAAAAAACAAATAATCAAATATTGTATCTTTAAACAGTTAAAAAGTATTTTATAACTATGGTAGTGAAAATGTACATTTACGTAATTACTGAAGCAAAATTTTGGGTAGATTTTAAGCAAATTATAATATACTAGAGGCCTGGTGCACAAAATTCATGCAGGGGAGGGGTTCCCTCAGCCCAGCCTGCACCCTCTCCAATCTGGGACTCCTCAGGGAATGTCCAATTGCTGGTTTAGGTCAGATCCCAGGGTTCTGCTGGGACTGCTGGCTCCTAACTGCTCACCTGCCTGCCTGCCTGATCACACCTAACTGCCCTTGCCTTCCTGCCTGATTGCCCCTAATTCCTCTGCCTGCCTGTCAGCTTGATCACCCCTAACTGCCTCTGCCTGAATGATGGCCCCTAACTGCCCTCCCCTGCTGGCCTGATCTCACCCCAAATTCCCTTCCCTGCAGGCCTGATCTCACCCCCAACTGCCCTAACCTGCTGGCCTGATCTTGCCCCTAACTGCTCTCCCTGCTGGCCTGATTGCCCCTAACTGCCTTTCCCTGCTGGCCTGATCCCTCCCCCAACTGCCCTCCCCTGCAGACCTGATCTCACCCCCAACTACCCTCCTCTGCAGGCCTGATCTTGCCCCCAACTGCCCTCCCCTGCAGGCCTGATCTTGCCCCCAACTGCCCTCCTTTGTTGGCTGATCTCACCCCCAACTTCCCTCCCCTGCAGGCCTGATCTCACCCCCAACTACCCTCCCCTGCTGGCCTGATTGCCCAACACCCTGCCGGCCTGATCTCTCCCCCAACTGCTCTCCCCTACTGGCCTGATCACCCCTAATGGCCTCTGCCTTGGCCATCACCACCATGGCTTTGTCCAGAAGGAAGCCAAATGTCTAGAAGATGGCTGGTCCACCCACCTAATTAGCATATTACCATTTTATTAGTATAGATAGATTATATAGGACAGGATTACTTAAATGAGGGGAGGGGAAACTTTTTTCAGTGAAGGAAATGCTCTTGGCAGAAAAAAATATATAATCCCTATATCTGGACTGATAGCTGGCCATATGCACTATATTTCCAAACCAATCATTAGAATTTGAACCACTTTCTTACACCTTACACAAAACAGCTGTTGTTTTTAAAACCCCTACTCAGCCCTCACATTAGGTTCTGCCTTTGCAGTTCACCAGATCAGGTTCTGATGGTTGGTTTCTATGCCAGTCATCACCTAAAGCTCTGCCTCCTACTTGGTTCTGATTAATTGGTTTCTATGCCAGTCAGCATTTCCAGGTCTATCTCCAGGCCTGATCAGAGATGTGGGGATGATCAACAGCTCCTGTGCTGCTATTGAGGCCCAGAGAAAAAGAGAGGCAAGGGCTGATCAACAGCTGCCACAGAGGCTGCGGATCAGACCCTGCTTCTCTCTCTGGGCCTCTCTCCAGGCCTGATCTGCAGCCCTTACTGCAGGACTGACTTTCAGTGTTTGGTCATCTCTTCAATAATTTTGGATGTTATGAACCCTGGCTCTTTATATATAGAGATTATTTCAGTGACTAACACTAAAAATTATTTAAGACTAGGGGCCCAGTATGTGAATTCGTGCATCTTGAAAGGAATTGTAGGCCGTGAAGCTTCAGTAGGCACAGGAGCAGGTCTCGGTCCATCCTCTGCCCCCCCGCCTGGCCCCTCCCACTGTGAGCTCCAGTCTGACGGCCACCACTCCTATGCACTGATGGTGCCAGCCCTGCTCGCTTCCTGCTGATGGCGGGGGTGGGGGGTGGGGTGGTGGTGGTGATTGGGACCAGTGTCAGCAGTGGGTGCAAGAGGGGCCGGCATCATCAGTGGGTATGAGATGAGCAGCAGCTGGTACTCCTGTCACCCCTCAGGAGTAGGGGGAGGTGCAGAAGCCCTCAGGGGTGATCAGGGCTGGTAGCTGCCACTGGCACCTGCTGATGGCACTGAGTGATTGGGACCAGTGCCAGACACCAGAATCAGGTGCAAGCGGTAGCTCTAGCATTGGCTGCAGGTACAAGTGGGGCCATCACTGGCAGTGGGTGCAAGCAGGGCCAGCACTGCAGCAGATGCGCAGGAGCAAAAAATTTTCAGTAATCACCAGAGGCTCACCCCGATGACAGCAGCAACTGGTGCCCCACCTTGATCTGGTGCCCCTGCTCACCAGCTCCACCATCTTGCCGAGGCCAATGCCAACCATGTTCTGCACATGCCCCCTGGTGGTCAGAGCACGTCATAGCGAGCAGTTGTTCGGTTGTTCCACCGTTTGGTCTATTTGTATATTACCCTTTATTATATAGGATATTTTATAAGAGATTATTTTACATAGTGATAAAGTGATGATTTAACTTTGGCAATCTCCATTCTGATTTCACCTGCCTTTCTGTAATGATAGTTATATTACTTGGAGGATCTTGAAGGTTCAGGGAGACCTCTAAAAAACAAATATATTACTTCAATATTATATTTAATGCACATAAAAGAATATACATGTGTACAAATTGCATAGGAAAAAAATAAACTGAACACTTTTGAGCTCAATGGTAAACTTCAGAACAAGGCCATTATCAAAAAAGCTTTCTTTACCTACTGTTACATTGTCACATCCACTTATCTCCCCACCAAAGGTTAAACATACCTTAAATTTTGTTTTATCATCACCTTACTTTAAAAAAATATATTGACTCTTTTTTTTTTTTTCCGGAGAGAAAAGGGGAGGAATAGAGAGCCAGAAACATCGAATAGCTGCCTCTTGCACACTCCCCACTGGGTATGTACCCGCAATCAAGGTACATGCCCTTGACCAGAATCGAACCCGGGAACCTTGTGTGCACAGGCCAAACCTCTATCCACTGAGCCAAACCACTTAGAAAAGTTCATCACTTTATTAAAAAAAAAATGATATTTAATCACTTACGAGTTTTTGTCCAAACAAAATAGTGTTTGGATTGCTTTGTTTTTGGACTCTTATATATAATACTGTATATAATATGTACTCTATGTACATATTATATACAGTATTCTAAGGCTACTTTTTTCCTTTAACATTATGGTTCTAAAATTCATTCATGCAGTTGCACATAGGAGTTTTTTTTTTTCCATAGTCATTGCTGAATAATGTTCCAGGATGTTGGCATACTTCAATTTTATTTAACCATTATCATATTGACAGAATCTGGATTATTTTCAGTTTTTGCTACTATAAAGAGGGCCACTATGAGCTTTTTGTACATATCTCCCTGTGTACACAGGCAATAGTTTTCTAACATATTATACCTAGGAGGGAAATCTTGAATTGTAAAATATGCAAATATTTCACTTGGCAGGATAATTCCAAACTATTTTATAGTAAAGAACTTTTTATAGTTTCATCAACAGTATGTAAGATTTCACGTTGATCCACATCCTCTCCAAATTTTGGTATCATTAAATTTCTTATTATTTGTCAGTCTAGTGACACAAAATGGGATCTTATTTTACAGTTCCCTTATTACTAATTATTTTGAAAAACATTTCATATATTTATGGTTCATTCAGGCATGTCCTTATATTGTTAATTATATGAGGTTTTCTAAAATAAAAAAATATTTAAGGAAACAATGAATAAAGGCTACATTGACTGAACATTCTCTAAGTAATTAAGCTTAACAGATTAGCTAGGAAATTTAGAATATATAGAAATACAGGTCCTGTATAAAACAATACTTAAACTTTTTGAGCAATGTAATCCACAATTTTGAAAAATTGAAATGCGCCAAAACCGGTTTGGCTCAGTAGTGGAGCGTCGGTCTGCGGACTGAAGGGTCCCGGGTTCGATTCCGGTCAGAGGCATGTACCTTGGTTGCGGGCATGTCCCCAGTGGGGGGTGTGCAAGAGGCAGCTGGTCAATGTTTCTCTCTCATCGACGTTTCTAGCTCTCTATCTCTCTCCCTTCCTCTCTGTAAAAAATCAATAAAATATACTTTTTAAAAAATTGAAATGCAAGAAAATATCATATCCAACTCTTAAAGCAATCACTTAATATATTCATTCTAATGCTCCCAAAATATTTAGGGTGATGCCAAGATGTCATAACTTTGATTTTAATACTAATTAGGAAGAGCCCTTTCAAAGTTGTAGCAATTGGCAACATTTGAATATTGGCTATAAGTTAGATAACAGTATTGAATTAATTTTAAATTTTCTGATTTTGATAACTGTATTGTGATTATGTACTAGAGTGTTTTTGTTCTTAGGAAATATATACTGAAATATTGATGATGTGTTTAAAGGTAAAGAGATGTATAATGGCTGCTACTTACTCTAAAATGGTTCAGATTATATATATATATATATATATATATATATATAGATTCAGATTATAAATATATATATATATATATATATATATATATATATATATATATAGAGAGAGAGAGAGAGAGAGAGAGAGAGAGAATGATAAAGGCAAGGTAAATATTAACAGTGGTTCAATCTGTGTAAAGGGTATATAGGATTTTTTATCCTATTCTCATTTTTATGTAACTTTGAAATTACTTCAAAATAAGCTTTCTGAAATTATTTCAAAAAAGCCCTTTTGAATAGCAGCTCATAGTAACAGAAAATTACATTCAAGTCATTAACTTAATATTATAATGAAAAATAAAAGATAATAAGAATAACTAATCCCAAGTGGAGCTTGTTAATAAACAATGAATGCTCAGATAATTTTTCTTAATAAATGCAATAATGAATAAATATACTCATTAAGTGATTGTTTGGAAATTTTGTAGATTCAGAAATTTAAAGGTTTGTCAGATTTTAACAGATTTAGTAACTTTTAAGAGTCTTTGGCTGGTATTGTACTTAACAGATTTATAAAAAAAATACAGTCATAAAAGAAACAAAATGCAATTAATACTTAACCCATAGTAGAAATTAGTTTGATCTGTGAATCCACAGGGAGAGGCTGCAGCCTGAATGGAAAACTCTTTTTAACAGAATAATCTTGAAGCAGAAGAATTAAACCAACCCGCAAACATTTATACCACTCAGGACACAGGGCATTCCACATGATCACTGATACAGTGCCTGAACTGTCAGCAACTTCCAAAAAGGTCTGAAAAGATGATTAAAAGTACACACATATTTGTTACTTTTATCTACAGGATATTAAAATTTTAAGATTGAAGAAGTAAAACTGTAGGAGAATGACTAATTTATGCTATATGAAAGAATCTTTAAGTATGAAAAGCCATAAAGAAATTTTAGTGATATTAGGAAATACTTAAGAAAATGTTGACTAATACAAAATTTTGTGTTATATAATTGCCAGTTTGTAAGCTAATTTAATATGATATGACATAGTCATATGAAATATAAGACATGCATGCATACATATACAAATAGATATGAAATATACACATGATATCACAAATATGTGCACATATAGAATATATTTGTGTGTGGATATATGATATATATACACAAAAAGGAATAAAACTATAATGCAAACAGTGATTATGGTATGATTTGGGGTGATATTATCAGTCTAACATATAGATTTCTACATTTTCCAAATTCTCTAAAAGAATATACAAGTTTTATTTTAAAAGATTAATGAAACACCCAAAATAATTCTTGATAACAGAGAAAATAAAGTAAAATGTTAAGTTATAAAGGACAGAAACCAAGAAAGTATTCTCATCAGCATTATATGGCATAGACAGCCAAGATAGCAAAAAAGTCAGATGGGTTTGACAATTAGGTCTCTAGTAAGTGACCAGTTGAAGGAAAATGCCAAACTAGTGATGCTGAGAAGTAAATGAGAGGCAAGTAAGTGAAAACATCTAATATAGACTACTTCTTCAAGGAGCTTGTCTGAAGAGGAGAGAGGGAATAGAGGAATCTGAGGTCAAAGAATAATTGTTTTCCTTTTTTAAAATGGAAGATTAAAGTATATTTATATTCTAGTATAGAAAGCACAGTAGAGAGGAAAAGGTTGAAGATATAGTATCAAAAGATGTGAAGGAGACTGGCTGGATCAAGGAATTAAAGCTTGCCAATACAAAAAATAATTCAGTTTATAAGAAATTACATTAGAAAAATACCTTGAAATATATATCCTTGTACATTTTCAAAATTATTAAATTTGTTATAAATCTTATTTAAACATAAATTATTCTAATATGGAGTCAGGTCTGTAAGTCATAATCTATAACTGTTAAATTAACATGTACTCTCTCATCTTATTTATACCTGGTATGGCTCAATCATCTTTTTATTGGGTCTTCCATAGTACCTCAGTCTTGATTTATGCATGATTCTCACAAGCAAAGCAGGATAATTCCTTCTGTTAGTCCAGCTCATTTCAAGGTGAGCAAGAAAAATTATTTTGGTATCTAGAATATAAAAAAAGAAAAAAAATCCTCCTTAACATCTCATGGTAATTTCAAAATTATATTTTAGTGGTCAAAATATCAGATATAAGTGAACAAAAAGAAAGCAACCATAAGAAAATGGTACCATACAAAGAGAATGTAAGGAAAAAAAAGTGTATTTGAAAAGTTCTTAGGCTGATATTTTATAATTGTCAAGAGAAATGTTTATTTATTTTTTAAATATATTTTTATTGATTTCAGAGAGGAAGGGAGAGAGAGATAGAAATATCAATGATGAGAGAGAATCATTGGTCAGCTGCTTCCTGCACACTTCCTATTGGGGATTGAGCCCACAACCCGGCATGCACCCTTGACTTGAATTGAAATCTGAACCCTTCAGTCCACAAGCGTTCTATCCACTAAGCCAGTGGTCAGCAAACTCACTAGTCAACAGAGCCAAATATCAACAGTATAACGATTGAAATTTTTTTTAGGGTTTTAAAATGGATTTATTTTCTTCATAAAAAGACACCTCCTCTCCCACACCCTGCCAAGTCTTCATCCATGCGTTTTCATGACCACATCCTGTTCTGCGGCTTCTTTTATGGCCCAAGTGATATCACGTTTCTTGCTGGCGTCCAGGCAATTGAAAATAAACAGACTGACATCTGGGGAAATTAACAGGCCAACAGTGGCAAACACAATACATCCAATGGGAAAATAAAACGTTACAGGACTGCAACAACACAGAGAACTTCTCAGGAGTGTGCCTCGCTGGCTGCGACAGCAGCAGCAGCAATGTTAGCATTTCTTTTTGCCTCGAGTTCCGAAACCAGCTGGACTATCTTTGGGTGACGGAACTTTCCTGTTGTGGAGTCATAGAAGTCCTGCAGCCTCCCGGGCTTGTTCTCTATGTCTTCATACTCAGAAGCCTGAAGAAACATCTCACATTGGTCCAGCTGCTTCACAAATTTGGCCTCTGCACTAGATTGGGTCTCATACTCTTCCCAGAGTTCATAGAGCTCCTTTCTGAGATCGTTGGGGAGAAGCTGGGTTAGCTGCTTCATAGCTTCCTCTTCTCGCTTATGTTTTTCTTCTTTGGGGATGTTATCTGCTGGTGCTATGTCCCCAACGATGCATTCTGCCATATCGTGAACCAGGGCTAGGCGTACACATCTGTCTTTGTTCAGATGGTCATCCTTGGTCACAGAGCCATATCTGCCATCTTGTACATGTGATCCGACACGCTCTCTGGCCTCTCAACATTCCTGTACACCCAGCCAGTCCGTGGGACTCTCTTGAGCTGCCCCACGAGCCACAGGAACTGCAGCAGGTTCCAGGCCCCGCTGCCCGACCCGGCCACGGAGGAGGCTGAAGCCATGGGCCTGAAATTTCCTTTGAGAGACAAATTTTTTAAACTTAAACTTCTAACGTCACTTCTTCAAAACAGACTCGTCCAGGCCATGGTATTTTGTGGAACAGCCATACTCAAGAAGCCAAAGAGCCGCATGTGGCTCTCGGGCCGCAGTTTGCCGACCACGGCACTAAGCCAAACCAGCTAGGGCCAAATATTATTTAAACAATCAATTTTACTTTAGGAATCCATCCATTCAACAGAAACAATTAAACATAGTGAACACATATGTATATATCTTAATGCTGCTCAGCCTTGGATCTAAAATTGAAAAAAAAAATACACCAACTTCCTAAAATTACAAATTACCCATTTACATGGGAATCCTATATATTAAAGAGCTAATATGCTAATTAGATCGAACAGCTGAATGACCTTCCGGAAGACCTTCTGGATGAAGCTAGAACTGCCAGGACCTGCCTAGGCTGCAAGGGGCTGAGAGGGCCGAGCCCCTTGCAAGAATTTCGTGCATCGGGCCTCTAGTGATTATATACTAGTAAATCATCATACATTCATATCACAGAAGAGTGTATGAATAGATGTCATTAAAAATGTTTAAGTGGAAATAGCAAATCATGTGATACCAAATAATTATTTTTTTCAAATTCACACACCAAATGGCTGACAGTTTGGAGTTTTGAGATGAAAGCTGAAGACATAGAAGGAGGTAAAAGGGGCCTTTCATTCCACCCCAACATTTTATTAAAAATTCCAAACATATAGGAATCCTGAAAGAACACCAATATACCTACTTCTAGATTTTGTCATCAAAATTTCACTGAACATGGGTCTTACGCTTTTAATACAATATACATTTTTAAATCTTTGGATTTTTAGCACATGGACATTGCCTTTTGTAATAAAAATATGGTTTCAATAATGAACAGATATTACTTTCATAATCGGAAAAGTGAAATACAATTTTTACAAATTATTATTGTCCTAAATTCTTCTAAAGTACCATTTTTTCATTTACAGATTAAATTCTAAAAATAAAAATGATCAACCCCTAGAGTAGTAATGCACTACTGAGATAAAAAGTCGTTCCATTAGTTCATCTCTGAAACTACAATCTTGCCTTTAAAACTTAAGTTATTTAAATTATCATTGGCTACCCATTTCTATAACATCTTTCCCCCCCTTACAAACTGGATATCACTTTAATTGCATATTTTTGATGCTGTTATGTTTTCACTTTCTAGTTTGTTGCTGTTACACATCATAGTAAGATTATCTATGGTCTAGCATTATGAGCCCAATGTAAAACAATAACAAAAACACAAAAACAAAAACAAAAATAAAAACAAAACCCCAACACCTGAAAAGCAGTAATGTAGAAATTATCATCTTTCTCCCTCTAGTACTTTTGCTTTTATTTTTTTCATTTTATTTCTTCTCCATTCTACACATGTACATGCCTATAGTATAATTATTCCCTTTACTTCATTTTTTTGAGATAAAACATATATTAGAGCAGTTGCTGATGATCAGCTGGCATTTTCAAGTTAACTTCCTATTTCTAACCCAGAAGAACTGAACTTCTCAGATCAGCATTACCTGTGGTCTTAAGAAATATAAGCATGAGAATTTCAAGTCTTCCCACAAAAATCACACCTTCAAAAAGCTATTATTTACATAACTGCTACACTCAAAGACATAAAATGGCATTTCATTAATGTAAATTATTAAGGAATAAACCATAGAACATCCTTTTTTGAATGAAGGTTAAAACACACAAAACCACAAATATTTACAACTTTTTATTTCTATTTCTAATTAAGAGACTCTCCAACCAGCACAGTACTATTTCCACAACTGGAATGGGAATGATGTTAAGATCAATTCCACTGGTCAACCCTACAATAAACACTTAGGACTACTGATTGCAACACCACTATGTTTGACAGATAAATTTAAGATGTAATTTTTAAAAATTAACATTATTCAGACACTTGCTTAACACCCACTTATAAAATCGAAGCAAGACAAGGGCTGTGCAAATTTCACTAAGCGAGCGTCTCTCCGTCACTCAGGAAAAATTGTCTATCAGTCCCGAAACATTTCTGCTTCCTTTCCTGTTAAAGTAAGCACAGCAAAACTATTTTTACACCACATCCCGTCGTTCCCTCCCATTACTTACGGTTAAAATTGTATTCCTCAGGTTGCTTGTTGGTTAACCAGATATCTCCGTATGGATCTTCGTTATTCCACAGGGCCAGGTAATGACTTTTCCCGCCCCTTAAGGGCCTCTCTGGTATCTCCTCGTGGGCACTATTTCTGAAGGGAGTTGCTGAAGAAATAGTGTCCAAGGTCTCCTCCCCACAGTGGATGTTATCAATGCACAGGATCCCCTGGCCTAACCTTTTCTCGTTGTAAAGACACGAGACTCTGAACATTTTCATTTCTATGCCAACTTTAAGAATATTTTTATACACGAGAAAGTTCAGTCTGGGATCGAGGAAACACTTCTCCTGGTACACCCGGTCTGAGATCGTCACGTCATAGCAGTAACGGGGCGGTTTGCGAACTATGTCTCTTGGCTCGTCTTCTAACCTTTGGACGGCCAGCACAGCGACAGGCACCACCTCCGAGGGAGTGACCCAATGGAGAGGTGAGTCTGCTATTTGCTCAAGAACCTTTTGGATCCAGGACCTAGGCCCTAGGGCACCGGCCCTTTGGATCACTCCTCCCGGGACCCACGCCCAATTTACCTCAGGATTCCGCCGGTCCTCAGCATACGAGGAGCCGGCCTGAGGCTCGTCCAACTCACCAGACATGGTGAGGAAACTGCTACCCTCTCCACTCCCAAACCCTAATGTGCCCAGTCCAAAGCTGAGAGAGTAAAAAGACGCGCCACGAGAGAGCGAGGGAGTGAAGAGCGCTACTTTGCCCCCTCAGTCACTTTCTGCGCGCGCACACACCAGCCCTTTAGCCCCGCCCCCTGACAGGCGCGCTCTGGACGTAAAGGTCAGGTCGATAGGCTTCGGTTATGTAAAGGGGTCCTCCAACCTGTGGCAGGCTGCATTACCTGCAGAAGACAAGCAGGGAGGCCGAGAGCGGGGGAGGGGGAGAAGCATTGGTTGCCTGTTAACTGAGCGGGACTTATAAATACGTCAAACGTAAACAACATCGGGACGGGTAGGACGTTTGAATTCGTCGTTTGAATATGTTGCGCCCTGAGAGGGACGGTATATATTTTTTGTAATCTTTATAATTGTTTGTAAAATTTATAATTTTTTAATTCGATGTTTCCATTCTTTATTGGTATTCTTTTCTATTTTTTTGTAACTTTGTATTTTCCTTTGTGTTTTATATATAAATAAACGAAAAATATATATAATTTATTTTAATTAAGTATAAATAAAAAATAATAATAATATGAAATTACGTCCTCCGGGCGTGACATACTGACACGTCCTAGTGAAAGAGTACGCGCCCATTACAGGTTGTGTAATTAAAAAGGGAACTCCCCGGTTAACAGGTTAAAAAAAGGGGGAAGGAGCACTCAGTGACTCTTCAAGAAAGAATGGAGCCCAGATGCAAGGCAAAAGAGAAGGTGGCTGGAAGCCGGGTGCAAGTAATCATATCTCAGTGTTTTTGGGGTTTTGGCCTTGGACCAGGAACAGAAAGTAGAGTTGGTTAATATACATAAATGTGATAACATGGCTTTACTGTATTATGCTTGAAACCAGATAATATATTCACAGCATTCAGGACAGTTTCTAACACAAAAAGTCCATAATCTTTAGTTATGATTGCTATTTTCTTTTCTTTTTTAATAAATCTTTATTGCTCAGACTATTACAATTGTTTCTCCTTTCTACCCCCAAAGCTCCCTTCCACTAAGTTCCCACCCCACCCTTTGCCCTTACCTCCCCCCTCCCATTGTCCTCATACATAGGTGTAGACCTTATTCCAGTCTCTTCCCACACCTCCCACACCCCTTTCCCCCTGATAACCATCAATCCACTACCTTTTTTTGCCCCTGATTCTACCATATTCACCAGTTTATTCTGTTCCTCAGATTTTTAATTCACTTGATTTTTAGATTCATTTGTTGATATATATGTATTTGTTGATCATAATTTTTATCTTTACCTTTTTCTTCTTCTTCCTCTTCTTAAAGAATATCTTTCAGCATTTCATCTAATACTGCTTTGGTGGTGATGAACTCCTTTAGCTTTTTCTTATCTGTGAAGCTCTTTATCTGCCCTTCAAGTCTGAATGATAACTTTGCTGGGTAGAGTAATCTTGGTTGGAATTTTCTTACTATTCATCACTTTGAATATTTCTTGCCACTCCCGTCTGGCCTGCATAGTTTCTGTTGAAAAATCAGCTGATAGTTGTATGGGTGCTCCATTATAGGTAACTAACTGTTTTTTGTTGTTGTTGTTGGTTTTTTCTTTTCTTGCTGCTTATAAGATTCTTTGTCTTTTGCCCTTGGCATTTTAATTATGATGTGTGTTGGCGTGTTCCTCTTTGGATTCCTTTTGTTTGGGGTTCTGTGCGCTTCCTGGACTTGTAAGTCTATTTCTTTCACCAGGTCGGGGAAATTTTCGGTTATTATTTCTTCAAATAGGTTTTCAGTATGTTGTTCTCTCTCTTCTTCTGGCACCCTCATAATTCTGATGTTGGTATGCTTGAAGTTGTCCCAGAGGCTTCTTACACTCTCTTCAACTTTCTGGATTCATTCTCTTCTCTTCTTGCTTTTCCAGAGAAGTGTCCTTTGCCTTTTTGTATTCCAAATCTTTGACTTGATTCTTGCATTCCTCTAATCTGCTGTTGGGTCTCTGTATAATATTTTTTTTATTTCCGTTAGTGTATGTTTAATTTCTAGTTGGTCCTTTTTCATATCCTCGAGGGTCTCGTTAAATTTATCAGCCTTTTCTAGGAAACTCTTGAAAAACCTTATAACCATGGTTTTGAACTCTATATCCTGTCTTTTCTTCTCCTCCATTTCTTTTGTTTGAGATCTCTTTCCTTGTCTGGGCATTTTCGCTGCTTCCCTGAATTTGTAGGGTGACTTTGTGTGCTTGGTTTCTTATATGGTTCGGTGGGTCAGCCTCCCCAGTTATACTGCATGTACAGCCTTGTTGTAGTTAAGTCTCGACCGTTGTTGGTATCACTGAGAGGAATTGACCTCCAGGCCTATTGGATGTGAGTATCAGCTGTGTCTACACCAGGATACCTTCTGTATTGGAGATAGTCTTATAGGATCAGAGTTGCAAAATTGCAAAAGCCTCTGAGCTCAGCTTGGATGGGGCAGAGTCTCAGGGCTGAGCCACCAGTCTTGGCCTCCTGTCAGTCCTGTTCCCGTGCACATTCCTCATACCGCCTTCCACGGATGCTCAGTGCGGTCATAGTTGGGGGTTCAGTGCAGTTAGGAGCTTTAGACTCCTTCCTTTGAAGAAGCCGCAGTTGTCAGGTGTCTCTGCGCACACTCACTCATGTGCTGCAGCTCCCCTGAGTCTCTGGGTGCCTTACTCCACCCATACGAGCCTGGGTCCACAGGGCTTCAGGGTTTCAGCTGGGGCTGGGGTTCAGTGCAGTCAGAACTAGGGTTCAATGCAGTCGGGGGCTTCCTTTCCACACCTGCCAGCCTGGCACTCAGCTGCCCTTTCTTTCTGTGTGAGCTTCCTCCTACCTCAGCGCTTTGTGGCTCCTGGTCTGATCGAATCCGTGAGCCTCTCTCCTTCTTTCCTTCCATGGATCTCCCGCTCAGCCCGCTTTCCTGTCCCCTAGTTGTTATTTTGAAATAATTGTGCGAGGCAGCAGTCTAGATGCTTACCTAGGCCGCCATCTTGGTTCTTCTCTCTATGTAAAATACTTTTAAAAATGGTTTTTTAGCCCTAACCAGTTTGGCTCAGTGGATAGAGTGTCAGCCTGTGGACTGAAAGGTCCCACATTCAATTCTGGTCAAGGGCATGTATCCCAGTTGCAGACACCTCCCCAGTAGGAGGTGTGTGCAGGAAGCAGCTGGTCAATGTCTTTCTCCCATTGACGTTTCTAACTCTCTATCCCCCTCCCTTCCTCTCTCTAAAAAATCAACAAAATATATTTAAAAAATGGTTTTCTGCCCTAGTTGGTTTAGCTCAATGGACAGAGCATCAGCCTGTGAACTGAAGGGTCCCAGGTTCAATTCTGGCCAAAGGCACATGCCTGGGTTGCGGGTTTGATCCCCAATAGGGGTAAATCATTAGTATAATTGTAGAGTGCAGGGTAGGTGAATCAGTGATTAAGTGATTAAGTGCAAATGAAGACAGAAAGTTATAGAACTGTCTTGGTAAAGAGCTACCCAGTGGGGAAGAGGGGCAGGAAGTTATTAACCAAATAATTTATATCCCAGGACACAGATAATACTGCAGTGAAGGCTTGTGGGGGGAGGAGGTGAGAGTGTGGGGATATCTGTAATACTTTCAACAATAAAGTTAATTTTATTTTATGTTAAAAATATATTTTATTGATTCTTTTTGCAGAGAGGAATTGAGAGGGATAGAGAGTTAGAAACATTGATGAGAGAGAAACATTGATTAGTTGCCTCCTGAACACCTTCCACTGGAGATGTGCCCGCAACCAAGGTATATGCCCTTGACCGGAATCGAACCTGGGACCCTACAGTCTGCAGGCTGATGCTTTATCTACTGAGCCAAATCAGTTTCAGGTAAAATTAAATTTTAAAGGTGTATTTATGTTTTATATAATATCTGGATTAACATACAGCTAGGATATAGAATTTCAGAAACTGTATTTTTAAATTATGAAGAATATACTGTATATGGAATGAATGTAAAGGGAGAAAGCTGGTAAGAATAGGCAGAATTGAAAATAAAACATGTTTTATTTACCCAGATGTATTAGTACACAAAGAATGTAGTAATTGCCTTAAGAATTTGTTTCAAAGATGATTATATGCTTCTTTTAATTATGTTAGTCTTCCTTTGCTCTCTATTTCATCATTATTTATTTACTACTAGAGGTCCAGTGTTTGAAATTTGTACACAGGTAGGGTCCCTAGGGCTGGGCGATTAGGGCTAATTGGGGCCTTACAGCTGCTGCCAGCCGGGGTCTCCCTTCCCTGGCTGCCAGCCTGGTCTTTCTTCTTTCCGTGCCACCCCGTGGTGGTCAGTGCATGCCATAGAAAATTATAGAATTTCCAGTCTCCCAGTTGAACTCCCATGGAGACACTTTGTATCTTAGTCTTTCATATATATATATAGATTTATGAAGTCCCTACTATGAGGTAGGCACTATTCTAGGCCACTGGGGCTAACAGTACTCATGCTCTTTTAGTCAAGCTTTTCTCATTGCTTGGGATGAGAGAATCTGCCATCATTAGTAATATTTAACTAATTAATTTATTCTCACATATTTCTTGAGTATCTGCTTAAAACACATAAGGGAATGGATGCAGCATGAATTAATTTATATAGACTATGATTAGGGAAGGGCTCTAGATATTAAGAAATTGAACAGAGCCAAAACCGGTTTGGCTCAGTGGTAGAGCATTGGTCTGTGGACTGAAAGATCCCAGGTTCGATTCCCGTCAATGGCATGTACCTTGGTTGCAGGCACATCCCCAGTAGGAGGTGTGCAAGAGGCAGCTGGTCGGTGTTCCTCTCTCATCGACGTTTCTAGCTCTCTAGCTCTCTTCCTTCCTCTCTGTAAAAAATCAATATATATATATATATATATATATATATATATATATATATATATATATATATATAAAGAAATTGAACAGAACAGATACCTACAGGAAGTGAATATATAGATATTT